TTTTCTAACATTGGTGATCCTCCTTCCCCACTCTGACCCCAAACCTTCTCCTCCCCAAGAGCTGTGATTGCAGGTTTTTGCAGCATTTAATGGACTTGCAATGTGCTAAATTCTCTGATGTGTGATGCTGTCTGTGTAAGAGTGTTGATGCTGAGACAGATGCCAGGAGACGGGTGGTAGATCTGACAGGGAAAATGTTACCAACCAGGCAGATGTAGAGTTTAGCGCCTGCTGTGTGGTCCCTTTGGCCCTGGCCCTTGGTTTTCTCTGGGCGTCTGCATGCTTCCCCTTCCTGTTCCTGTGATGACGTACCCTGACAACAGCAACTTAATGGAGAGAGGGTTTGCTTTGGCTCAGAGTCTGAGAACAGTCCATCCTGGCAGGGAAGTCACAGTGGCAGGAGCTTCAGGCAGGCGAGGTGAGCACTCAGCTCACTCTCTCCTCTGGTTCAGGTGCCTGGCCCCTGACACAGTACCGTCCAGAGTTAAGGTGAGTCTCCCACCCCATTCATCCCAGTCTAGAGGATGCGTCTCAGGTCTGCCCACAGGATTGCGTCCCAGCTGATCTGGATCCTGCGAAGTTGACGATATTAACTGTTCACAATGTTCTCTCTCTCTGCAGAATCTACGCAGACAAACTTTCTCTGGATTATTCTAGTCTTTGCTCTAATTTTTTTAATGGCAGCATGTTATTTTCATGGAAACAGGTGAGAGACTCCAAAGCAAAGCCAGCCTTGTGTCTTGGACTTGGCTCCAAGTGTTAGAATCATAGTGAGCAGGAGGTGTGTGGGATTCTGGGGAGTGGTGCTGTACTGTTACTGTGTGTGGTTTTCTGGTGTTGTGTTGGGGAAGAGCTTTGTCACCTGACCACCTGTGGTGCTTTGTGACTGGGTAACATTGTTGTGAGGCCTCCCTCTGTCTGTCCTTAGGATACAACTCTCACTGTGCATTGAACCTGACTGTAATTTTTCAGACCCTGACTTTCGACTATGTGGAGACTATATAATGGTTCTCAAACAAGTAAAACCACAGCAAACAGTCAAATTCCTTCTCTTAAGACTCATATTTTGTTAAATCTCAATGCACTTACTTACACAAGTTATGCATGGTTTGACCAGAGATTTCTGACCCTCACTGAATATTTGTAACACTCTCTCTAACTGTGGCACACACCGTGAAACCATGTGCGGCTTAGAGGCTCAGGAGACCTGTGTAATTGTGTTGTTTAAAATGTTGTAGATTGAGGTGGAGAGCTAGCTCAGAAGAGTATTTAATGTTCTGGCAGGGGATCTGAGTTTAGTGCCCAGGTCCCATCTTAAGTTCTCACAGCTTCCCGTAACCCCAGCTCCAAAGAGATTTGATGCGCCTGGTATTTGCAGGCACTTGCAATCATGTACACATACACCCTACCCAGAAACATGCATGTAACTAAAAATAATAAAGATAAAAGTTTTAAAAATATTGTAAATTATAAAATATTGCTCATTGACTGACAAGGCAACATCTTTAAAAGCTGATACTGCTCATCGAAACTGCATTCTGGGAAGTGGACCTGTCAGTCAACAGGAAAGGGGCTGCTGATCTACCACTGATCAATGTCTTGGGCCTCTCTACTGGCTGGAGCTCATCCAATAAGAAACTGGGTATACCAGGCGGGGCATGGTGGCTCATGCCTTTTTCCCCAGCACTCTCAAGACAGAGGTAGTCAGATCTCTGTGCGATCGAGGCCAGCGTGGTCTATAGAGTGAATTCTAGGCAGCCGGGGTGGAGCGAGACCATGTCTCAAAAAGACAAAAGAAGGGAAAAGAAATCTGCTGTGAAGTTGTCTTTGTTGTTTTTGTGCTACTGATGATGGTTGTCTTTTTTTCCCCCCTTCGGTGGTTCTGATGTCCAGGTACAGATCATCACTGGTGAGAAGTCTTAACTGCAGAAGGGACCAAAGCCTGTAGCTCAGCCTGGACCCGATGTTTATTTCCACAGATCCGTCCCTTTCCTCTTCCCTGCACCCTTCTGTTTAGCCATATAGTTTTGCAGTGTCCCCTTCTACAGGACCATCCCTTGACTTTATGGTAAATTATGTGCCTTACTGTTTCCTAGGAAAACTTGAACTGTAATTAGAAGAATAATTTAAGAATTAAATTATCTTCTATGTGTGTATATGTGTACATGAAAACAAAACTTACCCAAACCTTTCAGCTACAAGGAAAGTAGTCTAAGTGGGAACCTTTTACATCTAAGTGGAATTGGAGACATATTCAATAAATAAAT